TTAAACCAACCCTCAGCGGAGAGTAAAGGCACCCACACACTACAAGATAATCGGGCCGATTTAGAGCCCAATTCTCCCCTTCCGACAATCCTAGGGAAAGTCTTGATTATCTTGATGGTTCTACAGATTATCTTATCAGATTTTCCTGTGGTGTGAGGTGTGTTAAGAGTGATTGAATCTGCTCAGAAGAACGTCGGGGCCGCACCAAACTCAGAATATTTAGGATAAGAAATGCTGTTGTTTGGGGGGAACCGGTGTACAAATACGCATGCACTCTGATTAAATCATTTCACTAGATGACTAGATTGTCACTTGGAACGAAACGATACCCAATCAGAAAGCAAGGTGACGGCATGGCTATGGCAAATAGTAATGAACTACCATGAGAGTGTGTAGCGTGCCTTTACCTTTGCAACCCAATGTAGTTTTGGTCAAAAAGCAATGCTTTGGTAAAGGTGAGTCATTATGATCTAAGACTCTAAATCTAATCCACACCTGGGAATAAACAAAAGGCATCTAGGATTAAAAATGTTGATCATGATCATGAGGTTTGACACAAACTTTTGGAGTTCTGCTGTCATTAAATCAAATAGACACACACTAAATAAGACATTCTAGGATTCATGTTCATTTTTCAATTCCACCCACTCAATTTGTTATGCTGATAACATTGTTTGTAATTTAAAAATGACATGGTTTATTATGGTTTCAGACTTTTGAAACCATGGTACATCTACTACACTTCCTTTCAGTGCCCAAGTCACATGAAGAAACTAGAAAACTGGCTTATTTGGCAAAATATCCCTGTAATTGGTTCAAAAATGGAGCTGATGTACTCTCTCCATGTCTTCCCACTTGACAAAGTTTTTGAAAAGCTTCTGTCTGAATGCTGAAGTCTATGGTTGCAAAAATAGCACGTTCATTACAGAGCTAATGGCAAATATGATGAAATGGGACACAAAACAAAAGAATACAAAGAAAAAATACATCTGCTACTTTTAAAAAGAAGAGCAGGAAGGGAAGAAAGGACAGCGCAAACATCTTCAACATCAGTTCTCAGCCTAATGTTAATAATTTATGTTGTGTGTGCTTCTTTATGATTAATATTTATTTATTTACCGCTCTTCAATTTGCCAGCCAGTCAAGCTTTCAAAGACTTCATGGACAAGAGAAGCCGTCACAAACTTCAGAGTTTACTTTCAAATGCCTTTCAGCAGAGAATGTGCTTTCTCTCTTAGAGACAGCTCATTATTGTTATCTGTTGCAGCAAAGAAATGAAATATTGATGCGAAATAACCCTGGCATGGATTCCTTTCTATTGACCCTATGGAAATCTAAATGAATTGCTGCTGACCCTGGAAGCCTGTGGGCCGTCGGTTTGCTTTTAGGTGTGAATCCAGCATTGAAAACTTGTTCGGCTGTAAGGAGAAAAGCATTTGTGTGTGACTCTTCACTTTATATCAGCGATTACATGGAAGGACGGAGCATTACGGAGGACAGAATGAAAGACGGCTATTGTTCAGAGGAAGAGACGAATCACTGGGAAGTAAAGTGGGTTCAACATGGTTAAAATAGCAAGACAATGTCTCTTTTAAAGGATAAATGGGATTGTTTTGCAGAGTGAATGTTTGAAATTTTCACTCGTTAGTCCAAAACTCTGTTACGTTATAACGATTTCTAAGGCACCATTTGAACTATATGTGCAAGATATTTACCATCACTACATGACTAGTATTTGCCATCATCATCATACAAGCATTTCAACGTTTGTAGTTTTATAGTTGTTATATAAAGCTTCTAACCTTTTGTTGTTTTATAGTTGAACAACCTCCTGCACTATGAGTTGAGAATCGGGTGAATATAAGCTTTCTGATAATGATCCAATAGCCACATGTCTGATATAGGTGATAAAGTTGATAAAGTATGATTATGGAATGCTTTCATTTTTATTAAAGGAAGAATTGGGATTACGCTTACATATTCAGTTCTCCAACTTAATACGTAGGCTAAGTAGAGTGTCTGTTGAATTTCAATAATTCAGCAGACTGAAGTCAATTATTCTGTTTATACCGTGATTACCACACATCAAGATATTGTTCAGATGTTTTATTTCAGGACATTTGTCAGGTTTTCGTCGGTAAAACGCTCTTAGAACTAATTTCTTGCGCATCTCATTCCAAGCCTCCATTGCTAATTCCATAACATAATGTTTGAGGTAGTAACGTAGGCTTGAGCCAATGATGGTATGTGTGCGAGAGGGAGAGAGAGAGAGATTGATTAAATGATTGATTAAGCATGTGTGAATTACCCGAGTCTGTGCTGCTCTAACAGTGTTTGGCAGCAGTGTCTCTTCTGACATTTAGCTGCCTCAAAAACAGCGATGTTACTACCTCGCCACTGAAAAACATCATAGCTTTATTTTTATCTAACAAAAAAGTCAATCGCGGGGCAGCAGTGCTGACAACAAGTTTCTCTGAGAGTGTGTGTTTGTATTATGTGTGTGCGTGCAGAGAGAGAGAGAGAGAGAGTAGGAGAAAGAAAGTGTGCTTTCCATAGATAATAAAAGGTCATTTAGTGGAAAAAAATATGGACATTTCTATCCTATTGTTAGTAATATATGTTTGTATTGTTATTGTCTCTTGGTTCTTTTGCTTAAGACCTTTGAAATAACTATTAATTATATATATATATATATATATAAATTAACAATTATTTTGGTGAAGTGATATGGAACGGTAATGTGGTCAAAAGACCTTTCCAGCGTTTACTGGAAAATAATTGGACACCTTAGTACATTCATCAACCAATCAGAATCAAGCATTCAACAGCCCTGTGGAATAGCTCTATGTGTTGGCCTATGGGATAATGTCAGCCGCTGAGGGATCAGGGATCTAGTGTCATTTTTAAGGAATTTATTTTACCATAATGATCAAATAAATCTGTGCAATATTGATTTAAATAGAAATGATTTAATCTTACCTTCTCTAAAAAAAAGTCCAATCCAATATAAAAAAAAATCAGCATAGCGACAAAATTATGCACAACAAATATTATGAGAGATTAAAATAACGTTGGGTTCAGTTACCTGAGGGGACTGATACAAACAGCAAGAATAAAATATCAAAAAGCGGAATGCCATAATTAACTAATCAGAATCAAGTATTCAGGAGGGTGGTGTAATAATAAATATCATTGAGTATTCACTTGCTTGGTAAAAGTGGATTTTATTCCCTCTGTATATTCTTTTTTTAATTCTGGTACTAAACTTTAAAACAGGATTTTTAAGACCATGAAATGTGAATTAAGTAATCTTTGTTTCTTCTGCTGTGTAAAATATTCTTCAGTAAGAAATGCAGCCATTGTGTTTCATCTCAAACAATTGTTTATTATTAATTATTATGGTACAAATTAATGTGACAGACTTGAAGCTGTTAAGAAATACACAAAGTGCAGCTTAACTGACCGAACAGATATTGCTCTATATAATACATACAGTTTTCAGTCTATAAAATTTAAAGCATCCTTAGCAGGTTAAACAGCTTTGGTTTCGAGGTCTTGAGAGTAATAACAACGTTAACGTTTCAAACTCGACTGTGTGTGTATGTGTGTGTGTGTGTGTGTGTTTATCAATAAATCTCAAAAGAATTTCCATCATCTTTCGAAAACAATTGAGTTGAACCACAAAGTTTTCTTTGTTTCCCATTTATACAGGGCAATTCCAGGCAATCAAACTCAAAAATGTATCTTACATAGTGAAAGGGGATAAACAAACATAAACAATGCAGAAACGAAACAATAAAAAAAGAAGACAGTTATGAAACTATGTCTGCTCTATACACGTGACCCTGGAAAGCACATCGTAAAGAAAAGCAGGTGAGAATCAATCTATGACGGTCATAAAAACTACTTACAAACATATACACAAGTCCATTATGGTTTGTTGTGAACCTTTGCAGAAAGGTATCATGTTATGACATTGCTCACTACTTAGCAGGACAGTGCTGAGGTAATTTATGATATACTCCATTTAATCAATTTTCTTCAATCAGTTACATATTTCAAGATTGTCAACGACATTTAGCCATTTCTCTGTACAATGTGCATATAACTATTGAGCTTTGGTCCAGCATTGAAAAGATGAGCAAAGGCAGAACGCAGATTTTTGTCTCTTGGTTTTAATTTTTGGTTACAGCTTTATTTCGTAAGCGTGTATACCTTAAGACGTCCTGTCTCTGCAACCATACAAAGATGCCATGCTTCTGAATTCATGAAAATGAACGAGCTGGGAGAATGTCATATTATACAATACGAGTTGAGTTCATGTAATCAGACAGCTCTTTTAATGTGAGTCAAGATATCGGTTGCGTATAGCTGCCAGAAGCCGGACAATTTTTCTGTAACTATAATTATGGCAAATGTCCATTGTGATGTACTACATTTGAATAAATAGCTCAAAAGATTTTCTTTGTTCTTGCCATTTTCTGTTCATTGCTGATGGACAGATACAGACTGAATTAAATGGCAAAATTGTATAGGAAGAAATATCAACAGTATCGTTACTAAGTAGTTTTTAGCAACTTTTGATAACTGTGTTTGAGTTAAATATATAAATGCCATTCAGCTAACCAATTTTAATTTAAATTTTTAATGTTGCAGGAAAAAAATATTAAAATTTATCTGTAAACGGAAACCTTTTTATTGTTTTTGTCTGTAAGTATGAAGTGATACAATATAAGAATTATACAACAAAAGAAATAATTCATAAAATTACTGTAAATGTAACCGGAAGATAGGCTGTAGGTTTGTATGATGGTGTATTTGGGACAATGAATTATTTGTTATATATATTAAGGTTTATATTCAGTAAAATGTTTGGCTTACATCAAAAATGAGCATTTTCCAGTCCTTTCTTCCATCTGAGCAAGTCTTTCTGACTGACACAATGGAGTTTTTGCACAAAGCCAAAAAAAAAAAAAAAATGTAAAAGACATGAGGACAAAAGATAACTTGCATAACCCAAGTGAAATAAAGTAATTCATCTCATATATATATATATATATATAAATATTTTTTCAGTTGAGTGACAAAAAATAAAAACATCCGATCACATGAATAAAAGGGTTTGAGAAAGGTTCAGGCCAAGGTATGACACAATGTCCTTGTTCTTTGGCTAGGAGGCTTTGGCAACACCGTAAAATAGCTTTAATCACAGCTGCAACGAATGTGGATATCTATGGTATGTTCACTGAGAATCTCTTTGCAAAATATTCCTCCCAAGTGCAGTCTTTTATGACGGATGCCTTAATGTTCATGAACAGAGTGAGATGACACAGTTGACAATGGCCTTCTATGGACAGCAGAAACGTGACAATAAACTTCTCAAAGATATTTTTTGGAACTTGTGATTTCAATTTGGTGACAGATTACCAGAAATATTTACACAAAAACCCAAGAGAATAAAATAAGACAAAGATTCAATGTCACACCCACCAACCCCATCACACAAATCATTTTCTTTCTTTTTCCTTTCCTTTCCTTTTTTTTTTTTTTTTTGCCATTTCCCCCCCGTAAAAATGTAAAAATGTAAAACACATTTACAATTAAAAAACCTCAGGAATCAGATGCAACAAACTTTGGTAAGTAGTTTCTTCACCATCCTTGATTTAAATATGATCCTTGTTCTTAATTCCTCACACACTGCTAACGAATCAGTACTTTAACTCTCTTTTTTCTTGACTTTTTTGGTTTTTGCTTTTTGTGATGATAACACTGACAATATTTCTTTTTGTCTTTGTCGACAGTTCATCCAGTCGACGATGCATCGGATACTAATTGTCCAGGTTTAAGTCCACAACATCAGAAGTTTCGCCATCGGTGCGTGTTCGCCTCATCGAGCTAAGGATGTTCTTCCATATTATCGACCAGAGGGTCCATTGGTGCGATCGGCCCGAGCTCGGGCGGTTTCAGCCTCTTAATAGTGTTTTTCAACGCTTGCCTCTTATTGCAGAACCAGACGCGCACCACCTCGCGGTCATAGTTCAGTTTCTCTGCGATTTCGGTCATCTCCTGACCGGAGGGGTGAGTATTCTTCTCGAAGTGGCTGTTGAGGATTTCCAGAGCCTGCGGCGTGAAAGAGGTCCGCCGCTTGCGCTTTTTGGAGGGCTCGCTGCCGATAAACTCGGTCAGGTTCTGCATACCGGAGCGATGGCGGGCTTCCGCCTCGGCCATCCAGCGCTCCAGCACGGGCTTAATCTTCTGGGCGCTTTTTGGGGTGATGTCCAACTTCTCGAACCTGGCAGGATATAAAAGGCCAGGGTTCAGTTTGCCTGTCAGACTGCTAGCTATAGTGTTCTCTTGGGCTTCCTGTGGTAGGAAAAAGTGGCTTCTCAGGATGGTGTGTCTGGGGGAGAATTGAGAGAGAACAAGCTTACTCAAGTGCCCAGACCGGGTGAGGGGTTTCCTGTCTGACCCAGTCGCCCAGAAAGGGTCTCTTGGTCCAAGCCGCCAATGGGACAGAGAGTTTCATGGCCTTTACTGCATTGCTTCAGCTGTTGCGTGCTGGGAAACAAATGAATCTAAGCCCAAAGAGCCAGTTTTTGCACTCCAGAACATCAAATGTTCCTTCATATGATGCTTTTGTTGACTCTCTGTACCCATGATGCATTGAACCAAGAGGACTCTTCCACGGGCCGGTCCAAATACAAACAAGCACCTGACGGATATCATAAAGAATGAATTCATTTATTTGCCCTCTCTAGCTCCTCGGTACAATCAAAGCCACAGATGGCTTCACATATGATTAGGAATTCTCTTTTCTGTGAGAGATTTTAATACATATTGTCAAATGGATAACACAAGCATGCAATAAAAACATTAAAAGCATTATTAATTCACAAATGCTTTAAATTATTCACTCAAATGCACACACATTTGAATACACTTCTAAAACTTCTCCGTCTTCCTCAAGCAAGCCTGATGCTCATTTAATGTTTAATGCTAATACATTTTCACCTTCACTTTTGAATATCCCTGCAATTTTAGGGTCTCCAGGGAGGTAAATCAGTCTAATATTTAGGTCTTACTTGGCAATTGAGGTAGAAACTTTGCTTTCTGAACAAAAACAATAATGAAAAATTTGTCACGGTTACTAGATTTACACTTGTTTAAACTAAGCACTCAAAACATACATTTCACACAGCAGCCACTTAAGCTACAAGAAAGAAAAGAAAATGCCTGGTAAAAGTTTAGTACGCTATGTGGCTTTTTATTTGGGGTTACACTGAACTATGGGAATTGTTTTGAATAGATATCATTTGGATAGATATACCGGTAGTATACAAGCAGTTTATGTATCTCTAAAGCAGTAAAAACTGGTGGGTCAAAAACTAAAAACAGGTTTGTTGTGAAAGAAACTAACCATATGCCATTCCATTATTTTATTTTCCATAATTATTTAGAATTACATAATTGTATATATTATAATCATCATTATAAAATAAATGTGGTGCGTCTCTACAGGATGTTCAATGTAAAATCGGAAGTAAAACCCCTTGAAAAGCACTGATACTGATCTACAGCCTGTATAACCAGCTACAAAGTACAGTATATAGTTACAGAAGAACCATAAAAGAGCTTTTGTCTCCAAAGACTCCACTGAACGTGGAGATTTTCAGGTGTGTCTTTAATGGGGAGATGTTTCAGTGAGTTCCCTGACCTGCGCTCCTATCCGACACATGGACATCTGTCAGGCAGACAGAGAAAAGCCCAGCTGAGGGAGGCGAGAGAGGTGAACTACTGCTCTCTGAAACAACACACAGTCTCTCTTGGTCCTGAACTCCTGGACAGGCTCCTGTGAGGAGGCCTTTGATGGAATCTTAACTGGCATTTGAAAAGACGCCTGAAGCGGGGGCAAAGGCCCTCGCTCTCCCAGGTCCTCAAACGAAAAGACGTTTTTTTTTTTCAGAGCGGAGATGAGTGACAGCACCCTGTTAAAGCACAACTGAGCAGGAAAAAGTCCAGGAATATTGAGATGCCGACTTATTTATAGTCATGTATTATTTAATTTCTTAATTTTAGATCCTGTTCACTGCAGTTACTCCAGAAATAAGTTAAATATTTCATCTTCTGGTTGGAGAGAGACAGCGGGGATATAATAATGCTAATGCAGGATCAACAAAATCACTACTTTATCAAAACTGAGCGGGTTTTAGTAGTGACTACATTATTTTACTATTTTATTTTATTTTTTAAGGAAAAGAGGGGGGGGGGGGGGGGTAATTGTAATTGGTCAGTTATTTGTTGACAATAATTCAAATCGTACATAAATTTCATAATTGTGATAAGCTTTTGTGCTATTTTGAGATCTGACTTAAGCAATATTAGCAATATATTTCTTATATCAAAATACAGTAAAAAAAACAATCTTAAGAAATATTATTATAATTTAAAATACTGTTTTCCATTTTGATATATTTTAAAATGTATTTATTCCTGTGATGGCAAAGCTGAATTATTAGTCTTAAGTGTCACATGATCCTTCAGAAATCATTCTAATATGCTGATTTGCTGCTCAAGAAACATTTATTATTATTGTCAATGTTAAAATCAGTTGTGCTGCTTAACATTTTTGTGGAAACTGTGCAACATTTTTTTTCAGGATTATTTGATGAATAGAAAGTTAAAAAAAAAAACATTTATTTGAAATATAAATCTTTTGTAACTTAATAAATGTCTTTACATTCATTTTCTACTGTGTGGGCCTCTGAGTGAGTTCACGTAGTGTAACAACGCAGCGCTTCTGGGTTGTATGTCAGAACGTAGGCTCACTATTGGCCGATGCTGGTCATGTGTGTGATGCTGGCCAATAGTGAGCCTACGTTCTGACATACAACCCAGAACACACAGAAGAAAATGAATCGTTGAATAAAGTTGTTATTTTTTTTTTTTTTTTTGCGCACAAAAAGTATTCTCGTCGCTTGATAAACTTAAGGTAGAGCCACTGTAGTCACTCGGACTATTTGAATGTTTTTACTAACTTTTGGGCCGGCAAGTTTCAATTACAATAGAAGCCTATGGAGGAGTGAGACAGCTCTCAGAATTAATCAAAAATATCTTAATTTGTGTTGCGAAAATGAACGAAAGTCTTACGGGGTTGGAACAACATGAGGGTGAGTAATTACTGACAGAATTTTCCTTTTTGGGGTGAACTATCCCTTTAATAAATTGAATTGACTGTAATAACAGTTACTTTTCAAGGATGTTTGAAACTAAATTTCAAAAGTTTGGGCAGGCTAATTCATTTAATGAATGTTACAATTCTCTCCACTCTCCCCATTCAAAAGATGTCCGGAAATGTTTTTTGAGGCGAATACAGAGGACAGCCTTGAGACAGAAATGAATCAAAAGGCAGTGGGAAAGTAGGTGCGATTAAATATATATACAGTCATGTTAAGCAGCTCTTCTGCCCAATTTGTCGTGCAAATTATAGATGGCAGCTTTGCCGCCTGAGACATGAATCATTGATGTGAAACCAGTGTTTCGGTGTGGATTAATGTTGTAAATCCACACAGCTTAAAAGTGGAAAAACGATTGCCATCTCGCAATTATGTGATGATATGACATCTTATGAGCGTCTGTGTGCAACGGTGCATGCAAAAGAGAAAAGGCCGCGAACCATGCTGTATAAAATCTAATTTGTATGGTGTATTTAACTGATTTAAATAAACGAGGGAGCAAATGATTTTAATAATATGATTTAGATTTTATTGCATTCTTAATAATATGTTATTCTCAATAAACTGAGTATGTCAAACGTGTATTTTATGATTTCATTCCATTGATGTCAAATGCTTCACATCAGTCATAAGGCATCTGGATTCTGCAGGCTTTAATAATGACCCCTGCCTCTGATCAGTTTGACGATGCACCTTTTTGATTGTTCAGACGAACCAATAATGCTTTTTTCCGCTGTGAACTATGAGATCGGACAAGATAGAGACATCTGTCAGGCCGAGTTTGACTGAGCAAGGACTACAAGAGCCCCAAGAGCTCACACACTCACAAGCGAAAGCACGTTCACCTCTTTCTCCTCTTGTCTCTGCTGATGTTAACTAAACTAAAGCATGTGAAGTCTGCCTTTAAAGCCAAAAACACTCTGCACACTGTCATGTCCAATGTCATACAAATGAACAAATAATGAAAAAAAAAAAAAAATCCCCCTTCCTTTCTGACGAGATGAAAGGACGCATATAGAGAAAAACATCACATCACCTGTTTATTTTGGAAACTAATGGCTTTTAATGTATGCTATAAATATCTAAATAATGCATGCGGCTAAATATTTCATGCAGGATTTTTAAGACTTTCTGCACTAGTTTGAAGCTTCATAAGGAATTCCCGCACTCTCCCCCCACCGAGCAATTTCAGGTTTTATCGGTCGCTCGTTGCTGATATGATGAAATTTTAACAAGCGTGCGACAGCGGCATGTCAGATAAACATCATCAGTGTCTCATCAGACAAACTATAAGCCTTTTACAATCCTATAAGCATTAAAATGCACATGGAGACATTGTGCGGTAAGATCAGAGTTCATTCAAACAAGGAATTTTATTTCAAGTGGTTATTAATGTGTCTTTATTATCTAGAGTATCACTCATATTGCTTATTTTGAACTTTTGTTGAATAGGGCACACATTCAATTACTTTTCTAGAGTATTACAGGTACGGCTCCCATGTTTTTGTTGCGAGAAGTATTATAAATGTTAGATATACTGATAACAATGTATTACACAATTTAAATAATACATGGTAACACTTTATTTAGGTCCATTTTAGACATTCTACTAACTATAAGTAACTTTGCAATTACATGTCAACTACCAGTAATTCGAGTATTAGTAGACTGTCGGCTTAATATCTGCTAACACTTTAATTTGATGGTCCCCCATTCTACTGACTAATATGATAAGTACCTTTACAACTACATGTCAAATTATTCTACTAACCCGAACCCTAACACCTAACCTACTATAGTCTACTAATACTCTAATGAGAGTTACTTGACATGTAGTTGCAAAGTTACCTATAGTTCGTAGAATGTCTAAAGTGGACTATCGAAATGAAGTAACCAAATACATTGTTTTAAATTATATTCACTTATTATAACACTTATTGTAGTAAAATAACAACTGTAATTACAAAAAAAGATTATATTTAAATATTCTTAATTTGTAAATAATTTGTAAACTGCATTCATCAAGCTCAACAAGAAAAACAACAACATATTTTCCTTTAATTTATGTGAAATCAGTTTATCCGTACCTGCCACTCAAAATTTGGACCCAAACAAGTTAGCTTGAGTTTGAGTCAACAGAAAAGTTGTGGGTCTATCATTGATCATGCAGTAGTTGCACTATAGGTTTTGTGCTTTATCCTTTCTTTTCTTATTCTTGTTTATGTCTAATAGCACAGGCCTCAATAGTTTGTGTGATAAGATATTGTGCATCCTTTATAAATGTAATCTAACATCACATGTATCCGTATGTTGGTGCAAATTGTCCCCTGATGTATACAGTAACTACTGAACTCGTCAAAATGCACACACACACACACACACACACACACACAAAATAGCGCTCTAATGATGATGTTAAATATTTCATTTACTCATGCTACATAATGTCCTAGTTTAGTTTGCACTGTGGAACACCACGTTTTATTAAAAGTCATGTCAAGTTCCTTTCAGCTAAGCTAAATGTCATGTGAATACATGGCATTGGACCTTAGAAATTATTAAGTGGTTTAAGTGCTTCTTGTAATACCAAAGCTGATGTATTTTACATTAGTAACTGAATCTTTTCATACAGACTGCAAAGATTATTGGAGGCGGGCACGGACTGGAATAAAATGGATGCATCTGACATATATTGCTCATCAGTTATGAATGTTTAACATCTCTCTTTAACATCTTAATTATTTGTGATGAAATATAAATTGGGTACTACTTGTATGTACACCCGGGTTTTTTTTATTTTTTTATAGAAAGCTACTTTAGAATAATATAATATAATATAATAATAGTTTTTTTTTTAAATGTGCTAGTACACTTTGATCTGTTTGGTGACCTCCATACCTGCAGATGGCAGACTGGCTGTAGGCTGGTCCTTCAGTTGCACTGAGAGCCTGTCCCACCTGAGTTTGAGTCAGACCCAGAGACAGTCGGCGAATTTTAAACGCTTTGGCGAATTCTCGAATCTCCTCCAGGTTTACACCATCCACCTCACTGGGTGCAGTCTGAGGGTCTATAAAACAGAAGAGAAAAGAATGAAGCTGCAACTCACATTTCACATGGATTCATACACTAAATGCAGAACTGAATATAAGGCCGTGTGTCCACCAAAGCGTTTTTAGCCAGCTGAAAACGCTAGACGCTCTGCTGAAGAGGCCTGCTAGCAAGCGCTTGAGAGCGTTTTGGCAGCGCAGCGTTTTTTTCCGTTGAGACGTTTCGTTGCTATGATACAGAATATCCGCAGCACATTTTACTTGTAACTGATTTCGCAGATAATTTGTTTCATACTAAAAATTTATTTTTCATCCATTTTGTTCGGTTATCTCTGCTGGTTGATGTCGTTGTACAGAAAGAATGTTGTGACAGTTGCTCGGTGTGGTATTAGTCCCGCCCCTCCTCCAACTGTGATTGGACGGCTGGGTAAAAAGTGACAGTGATGAGCGCTGCGTTTTACCCAAAGTTGAACATTCTTCAACTCTCGGCAACCAGTAAAAACGCCGAGCTCTCAGCGCTTCAGCGTGAAAAAAACGTCCAGCGCCTCGTTGCGCTCATGGCGTTCTAAAAACGCGGCGCTCCCATTGAAAACAATTGAAAACATACGCCAGGCGCGTGGAAAAACACTTTGGGTGGACACACGGCCGAAGTGTTATAATATGACTTTGACAAAAATTACTTCAAAATAGCTTCCATTCCTGTGTATTTTCCAAACATTGACTGATTTTTCTTAAGGTATGGTTTCTAATTTACAGCTTTGTGTAACAGTAAGGCTGAATGCCAGTGAGAATAAAATAATGCTTGCATTAGGGACTTCCCAAATGAATGCTTATGTTAATAGCATTCTAAAATGCCTTTCTAAGAAATATTCATTTTTATGCCAAGTTCTTTCTTTGCTTGGACATTTAGCTATGAAAGACAGGTATGCAGAGGTTAGATTTCAATTTAGCAGCTTTGCACTCCAGGCTTTATAGATTCAAGATTTTATTTTGTGCATTTTAGCTTAATAAAATGTGATTGGCCATTATACATCAATGCCAGGTGGTCTAACATCCTGCTTACATAAGAAAAATTTGGCAGACTAAATAATTCATGGACGTCATTATGAATGAATTATTAAAAGAATCCATCAGCCATATTTAAAGTCAAAATATATTGAACCAGCACCCTGTCACACCCCATATGCAAATTAGTTGTTGAAACCTGAACTTGCTCCCATGCAATATTGAAAATTCCAGTTACATGAAGCAGTTTTGTCTTTTTGACCACATAATAATGATTTATGACAAATTGTAATGGTAGATTGCCTTTTGCCATGTTATTATTCATTGCTGATCCGTTAAAATGAATTCTTTTTTAATAATACTCAAAGACCGAAGAATTTGATCCCAAAAGGACAACCTTGACTCAATCATGTAATGTCTTAACAAAGCCCAGCAGTGTGATTCGATATTGTTATCATAACATCCACCTCATTGAATAAAATACAATACAACAAAAAAAAGATTTGCCAAATGCAAAATGTGTACGGTCCTTGAAAATCCGGCATGTATTCTATCTGAGCTGAATGTGGTGGCTGTGGGGTCAGTCAAACCCCCCCACCCCCCCACCCCCCCACCCCCCCCCCACCCCCCCCCCCTCCATTCAAAACATGTTCTGGGGAATTAACGTTAGCCAAGGACATCGCGACAAACACAATCTGGCATGGAGAGCTGCACCACGGCGGTAAACTGATGAAATGAATAGAGAATGCTAAAGGTATTGTCTATGTTTTGAACAAAACAAAAAAGAGGGGAAAAAATGAAAACACAACCAAAGTCCATTGGTTATATCCACAGCAAGTTGATCAATGGAAACTTCCTGTTTATTGAATTTAAAAACTCCACTGCAGATGGTTTTAGGCCAATTGGCTTTGACAAATGAGAATTTATCTAAGTAAAACAGTTTTTAAAAGGGCCGCCGTGGCTCTGACAGGCTTGGAGGGAGTGATTTATATGTGGTGCTTATGGAGGCCAAAGCCTTCCATGCATTCGGTCTACAGTTTGGTCAGCTAGATGACCGAATCAACTAAAATCTGATAAAAACTGAATGAAAAGGCAGCATATTTTCATTAACACTTATATAAGAACATTTTTAAAAAAGTAAACTCAGTGTAAAGTGTTTATGTGTAGTAAAAATGGATCAGCAAACATGCAGAGATACAGTGCACACTCACTGCTGACTAGCTGGCCGACGCTGAGGGCCGAGGATGAGGATGATGATGTTGAGGAGGAGGAAGAGGCCTGGCGGAGAGGGCTCTGGCTGTGGGGCATGCGGAGCAGACTTGGCTGAGACACGGGAGGAGCCTGTGAAGTCTGGCCGGCCTGTGGCAGCTGTGGAAAAACACACATGTTGAGTTGCACACACACTTAGGAGAACACAATATACACTACTGTTCTAAAGTCAGTGTGGTCAGTAAGATTAATCATTTTCTCCACCAAGGACATGTTAAATTGATAAAAAGTGACAGTAAAGACATTTATAATGTCGCAAAAGATTTCTATTTCAAATAAACGCTGTTCTTTTGAACTTTATAGTCATCAAAGAATAATGGTGCTGAAAATTCAATTACGCCATGACAGGAGTAAATTACATTCAATGTAATATTTTCAAATAGAAAAGTTACTTTAAATTTTGAAAATAATTCACAATCTTACTGTTTTGACAATGCAATAAATGCAGCCTTACAGAAGAGACTTCTTTCAAAAACATTTTAAAAAATCTTGGTACCATGGTAGATGTTAAAAAAAAAAAACATGGCATTAAAAGGAATAGTTAATTCAAGTTAAACTCAATTGACAGCATTTGTGGCAAATTCATTTTGACATCTTTTGTTATATAAAAAAGAAGCAGGCACTTGTAATGAAAGTGAATGGGATATAAAAGTGATATTGATTTCACTTTATTTTGATGGTCCCTTTAACACATTCTGTTGACTATAAGTAACATTGCACCAACATGTCTACTAACTCTCATTAGAGTGTTAGTAGAGTATTAGTAGACTGATAGGGTTATAATAAGTTGGCTAAAAGTTATAAATAAAGTTACTAATAGTCAGTTGAATGTCTGTTGGGGAGCATTACAATAAACAGTTAGCAGATATTAAGCAGACAGTCTACTAATACTCTAATGAGAGTTAGTTGACATGTAGTTGCAAAGTTACTTATATCAACAGAATGTTCAAAAGCGACCGTCAAAATAAAGTGTTACCATTTTAAAAAATAAAAATAAAACATTCATTAATCTTTTTAAATTCTCTGCATTTTTTAATGCCGTTACTTTCACTGCTTCTGAAATCGCATACTGAGTAGGTACTACATTTAATTTGGAACTCACTTTGCAACAAAATGTATGTTCTATATAGTATGTTTATGGGTAGTATGAATGGAATTCGGACTTTCTACATCCGCCATGTTGTTACTGTCTCGTGAATTACCAGCGTCACTTGCGCCGCTTCACGTCCATTCATAAATCATCTCCCGTGGCCTCATGGGATAGTAAAGGGCCCATTGAATGAGCACTTGAGAATCTTGGCGGAAGTAGTAGGTCATCCGGGTACTTTTCGCCTACTGTTTTTCGAATATGTATTATATGTTCTTTAAATGTTTATTAAAATGATTTTGATACTGATATTTTCAAACTAAAATCACAATAACACATAATGTTTAAGTCTTGTGGCTATTCTATTGAAACAATGAGTACTTTAACATTTACAGATTGGCCCCATTTAGTTTTTCTTTTGTAAATAGCTAATATAATAGTAAATATGTATAATTTATTAAATTCATTATTTTTTTTAATCAACGATACGTCACAAGTGCTATTGAAACCAGAATCTTTATTTTTAAGATGGTTCCCTGTCCAAAAAAACGTAATAACATAGTCATTGTAGGCGTTTTTTTAGTGGCGTTATGTGCTGCTTCGTTTTTTAGGTTTTTCTCAGGTTTATTCGGAACAGCATCACAATTTTTAACATTAAATCTGAACATGAAACTACAGAGAATAAAATAAAGAGGCTATTTGGGTTTTAAGAGATAAAAGATTTTGGTCCTGTGGTTGTTTACTGGGTAAAACTGTTGAGTCTGTTTATTAGAATGAGCAAATCTAGACTCGTCTGCTTGTTTATTAGAGATGAGAGATGCGGACCGGTGGAGATGCTAGAGGTTGCATTCACTCCCCGTGCAATTTCTCATTCAACACGGCTGTCAGATACTTTCAAGTACACAAAAGAAACGACAGCGTCTGGCTATTCAGCACCGAAACCTTAACACGAAAAGGAAAACACACACATTTACTGAGCCCAGAAATCAAAATTATGTGGCTACAATATGAGTCATTATTATGGGCAATGTGGCATGACTGCGGCACCATACATTTTCATGTTTTATGCACCATCGAGCGCCTCTTGTAGATGGTGCATCTCCACTCTTCAAGAAACAAGCGTCTCATCTGTCTAAAAGTGGGTTGGCTTCTCTCTGCTGTTCTCTTGCACTATTAATTCTCCTCTGTGTGTTTGTGCGTGAGTGTGTTTTTCTTTGGATGCTGAAAGATGTCAGTAGTGTTGCACACACTGTCAGAACTGTTGACAGGTCTGTGAGAATTACCGAGCTTCGGTGGATCTCTCTGCCGCCACCGTGTTTGACAGCCATAAATTATCGCTGCATGAAAATGTTCGGGAGTCAACTTGAAACGCAGACAGACCCATAAACATTATTACAAATGCATTACTGCGTTTACGTCCGTGATCAAAGTTTCCAGTAAATATGACACAGAGTTGCTCCAACAGAAATGAGGTTGACCTATAGACGCTTTTATAGCCGACCGCTGTAGATTATAGGGTGGGACCGGGGATAATACGCATGTCTCTATAGTCTCTTTTGTTTTGCACTGTTGTTAGGCTCTTTAACTGTGTATTCTTACTACCTTCTTGATTATTATTTGATATAGGAGTTTGATCATTGTTATTTGAGGATGATTTATATTAAAGTTTGATTATTGTTATGTATTATTATAGGTGCAAGCCTTTGAAATACAGTGTTACTATGCGAGTGGAGAGTTGTATTGGGTTCTGTTGGCATACTGTATCTCTGTCTTTGTCTTACACATGTCTTTGGCTATATTATGCTGTATATTATAGGTTATTATGTGATTATTAGGATATATCATGCATATTTCCTGGTATTTTTCTTATGGCATATTAAGCTTCACATAATTTCACATCACAGTAGTTTTTGAAATCGTTGTTTTAAACAGTCATTACGTACCTGCTGTCCAGGTTTAATGGGTGACAGTGTGATTCCCTGGGTGTTGATCACTGGCAGGATCTGGTTGCCAATCACAGTGGCTATAATCTGACCCTGTGCATTGGTCAGCAGCTGTGGTGTGATTGGCTGGACCTGCAGGGAGGGAGTGCCGCCCCCTGATTGGCTGGAAGGTCCTACAGAGTTTGGCATCAGAGGGATCGTACCAATGATCTATAAAAATCGCAAGAAAAGAGAAATACAATCCAGGTTAAACAATTCACTCAGTAATCAACCATATATAATCTATTCTGCTATCCTTGAATAATCAAACACAGCAAATAATTAAGAATATTTAAATGTGCAGTAATAATAACTGTACAACCACTGAAACGTTTAGAGTAAAAAAGGTGTACTTGAAAGAGTGTATTTTGCTCAACAAGGCTGTATTTATTTAATTGCCTTTCTGTTTTAACATATTTTAAAATGTAATTGATTCCTGTGACGAGAAAGCTGAATTTTCAGAAGTTATAACCAAAGATTTTAGATATACAAAGACGGTGCACTCACATTACTATGAATGAGAGTAAGAGCATCGTGCAATATGGCGAATAAAAGAGCCAATAGCCAATTGGTAAAGTCATCATGTCACTGCAGCTGCTGTTAGAAGTTCCGGTGCGCGCTTATGATAGGCTAGTCCAGCCAGAACATTTCAGGGGGTTTTTGTCATGATTTGAGCGTTTAGAAACAATGTTTATGAGGCAGTTGTTGTTAGATTTTATTGGTGCTTTCAAATACTTATAGCTTGGTGAACAGCTTTGGAGAATTTGATGTATCCCCATTCAAAGAGATAGAGGCTGTACTTGCATGACTGAAATAGCTCCGAGAGGCGTTACAAAGATGGCCGCCGAGTGAAATGCCTCAAAGGGACTTTGGGCATTACTCCAGTCTTCAGTGTCACATGATCCTTCAGAAATCACTCTAATTTGCTGATTCAGGGCTCAAGAAACATTTCTTCGTATTATGTTGAAAACATTTGTGCTGGTTACAGTCACTTTTGAACAATTTAATGCAGTCTTGTAGCCTGGGAAAACCCAGACAACTTCCGGCAAATTTAGATTTGCTCTGAAAGTTAGTCTGGCAAAGAGCTCATTTAAGCCCATTTCCAATCCGTCGAAATCGCGGCACCAATCAGAAACGTTGGGGCAGGCTTTACACGATGACGACAGCGCTGGGATTTTGAAGCAGATTTTGTAGCCTACATTACAAAGATGGATGCCGCCGTCGAACATCACTTGTTCGAATCAGCTATCACATCTGTTTTAAGCGATTTGAACGTTTCCTTTTTGTTAAAAACCGAGCAAAGAACAACACTCGGAGATGTTTCTCCACCGCTCTGCATACGTCATCTCCTTCATCGCTCTGATTGGCTTTAGGTCTATCTGCGACGTCTGTTGGTGACGCCCCTCTGGAAATGATTTGTCTATGACGCTTTGCCAGACGATAACTCAGTTACAACTGAGAATGGTCTGGTTTTAACCAGGCTAGCAGTCTTGCTGAATTTCTTTAAAAAAAAATCAGTAACACTTTACAATACTAAATTAGTTAACAAACTAATAATGAACTGCACGTATAAAGCATTTATTAATCTTTGTTAATGTTAATTTCAACATTTACTAATACTTTATTTGTTAACATTAGTTAATACACTGTGAACTGACATGAACTAACATAACAGCTGTATTTTTATTAACTAACGTTAACAAAGATGAACAAATACAGTAACAAATGGATTGCTCATGGTTAGTTGATCATGTTAGTTAATACATTAACTAATGTTAACTAATGAACCTTATTGTAAAGTGTTACCAAAAAATCTTACAGATTGATTGATCTTACTCAAGCATATTCATTTATGTTTGCACAAAAATAGTCATATATATATATATATATATATGGTACAGAGTATTAAAGGAGATGGACATGACACAAATGTGTAGTCACACTCATAATCTTAGTACCTGACGAAACAACAAAGACATCAAATTAGAGCACTTCATACACTCCGAGGACCTCATCAGTGTCAGAGTATCAAAGCCCTCAGATTTTACCGGATCGAGGGCTACTTAGTACTGGGCGGAGAAAATAGACTGTATAACCTTTTTATTTTTGAGAGAGGCTTGAAAGACATACACACACTCATACATTACCACTTGCACTGAACCACAAACCTGGCTGAACGTACATAGTCTACACACAGACACAAGTATGTGCACATGAAAGCCCCCCACACAAAATGTGCTCTCTGCTCCTCTCTAAAGGTCAGGCTCTGAGTACCTTTATGTGTGCTGGTGCACACCACTGACTGTATTATCTATCATAAGACCAGAGGAAAACTGTGTGTGTGTGTGTGTGTGTGTGTGTAAAATGCAGAGAAGGGCCGAGTTAATAACGTAGCCTCTTAACCACTCGTCCCCCAATAAAAAACACACACACACACCCCTTTATAATTCTGGTCCTATATAAGGGACGCCCTCCTCCCACAATCCTTTTCACTGGTCTTCTGCACCCCCTGCTCTCCAGTTGTGACAGATCAAAGGCCGTAACCCTTTGTAGCTGCAGTGTTTTACCTCTCAAGGCCATGGCTTCAATGAGCCATGTAGAACAACAGCGCTGGAGAAAAGGACTCAACGCCTCCTCCCGACACACAACAAGGGTTTATGTCAGTGGAACTGCAAGACTTAAAGCCTCTTTCATCCAGAGCACCACAACTATACTCATGAAATGCATTAATGCAGGAGATCGAAATGCTTGAGTCAAGTAACAGTATAATAAAAAAACATTTGCATGTAATAATAATCATAATACACTATATATTACTCACCATGAGATCAAAACACTTTATACTACCGTTCAAATGATTTAGGGTCTGTACGATTTTGTTTTTGAAAGAAGTTTTGTTCAACAAGGCTGCATTTATTTTTTTAATCAAAAATACAGTAAAAGCAGTAATATTGTAAAATATTTTTTACAATTTAAAATAACTGTTCTATTTTAATTCCTGTGATTGGCAAAGCTGGATTTTCATCATCATTACTCCAGTCTTCAGTGTCACGTGAATGAACAGTTGTGCTACTTTTTTGGAAACTGTGATCCACTTCTTTTTAGGATACTTTGATGAATATAAATTTTCAAATGGAAATGGATATTCAGTCAGGAAATAAAATGTCCTGGACAAGGCTTGACATATTTTAGCCATTTTTAATGGATTTGATTAGCATACAGTCAGTTCTATCTGCCTTTTTCCTTCCTTGGGGAAGTTCCACTTAAAAAAGACTGAAACAACACATTTCAAATCAGGTTGCGCTACAAATAATCCTTTTACGTCAGTTTTGTTTTTTAATGTGACATGACAAAACAAGAATATCTATGGTAAGAGCTTTTTTAGTCTATGAATTAGTTTCCACCTGATTATTTTATCTTTTCCTTTGTATTCCGCTGTAACAGTATGAAAAAAGACAACATATACTGCGCATTTATGGTCTGTTCTTCTGATTTAATTTATGATATACTTTTACACTTTTAAATGTCCTTTTAATGTTTAATGGTTGAACGGTGAGCAGAATAATGCTATCTCTTTGTACACAGTTTTTGAAAATGCTTACAATTGCATAAAGAGAATCTTTCGCTGATCGTGAAACACAAAACACTCTCCTCCTGAAACACAACCGGCACCTGTTGGTTGAAAATTAAGCGGCCTTGGTGATGTCAACAGGGGTCCTCCATGGAAGAATTTGCAATTATGAATTTTGTATAAGAAGATCAGTAACATTTGCACTGTCGTTCAAAAGTTTGGGATCAATTCGATTTTTAATAAAAGAAAATAATACTTTTATTCAGCAAGGATGTGACAGTAAATAGATTTAAATGTTACAAAAGATTTCTATTTCAATGAAATGCTGTTCTTTTGAAACGTCACATTATGATAGTAAAATATACTGTTTTAGTATTTACACTTGGCATAGAGGCAGGGGGTTATTTCTTGACTTCAAACTCATTTTTGTCAACATTTTGCCTTGAATTAAAACAAAAGCTCAATATTAAGTTATTTTAAAGTCAAGACAGCCACTCCCACATTAAAATGTAAGTAAAATTAAAATATAATTTTCACATCCTCTCTATATGACTCTGTCCACCAATGTTTGTTTTAATGGCATTTCAATGTGAACATCACAATGTTTGTGAATAAATGAACATGCTATATACAGTACTGGTGCGCACATGGGCTGCAGACACATTGAGCTGTGGTGCTCATGTGAGAGTTGCAAGTTCGAGTCTAGCACATACTGTCAAGAAATAAAAGGGTAAATCCCTTTTAAAAAAAACAACAACAAAGAGGAACGGAATGTGTTAAAAAGTGCTTTTCTGCTAGTCTGTGTGTGCGCACATGTCTGATATACCACCTAGACTGAAAAAGCACCATTGATCTATCGCGTATAATTTAACCTCGCCTGCTTGCGGACCCCCAGCTGCGCTAACAAGCTCTGCATCTGTATAATCTCTGACCGTTCCTCTCCTCCGCCTGTTCCCTCCTCTCTTTGACATAATGACGATGGAGCGGTGGAAAAAAGGAGGGCTGACTATGTGTAATTCACCCTCACCACGGCTCATTTGGTTGCGTTGCTTCGCATTAAGCGACAGATAATTTATCTCTCTCTCTCTCTCTCCCTCCGTCGCTCTTTATCGCTCCCTCTCAATCCTCCGAGGCCCTCTCTCCTGCCACTTAGCATATTTTATTGTGCGGTGTGGCGCTCGTGTCCCCCGACATGGCATTTGCATGCCGTCTTGTCTCAGGGCTTGTTCCGCTCAATTATTCACTCTCATTGGACTAAGTGGCTGCTCTAACACGAGCAATAATACAGCACACGAGCTGACAGCTACATACTGTCCCGGGCTGCTCTGAATAGCCACGTTCACTGCGCTCTCAGCTTACTGTGGCATACAGGACCTTGTTCTTACAACTGCAACTGCATTAACCTCAAGAAGAAAAAAAAGTCTGGCATTTCTACACATTATTATGAAGTTTTAGAGATTCGATTTCTTTCACTAATTCAATTATGCTGTACTTTGGTTCCCAGCAGGCACTGTGGCAAAACTAAATTATGCAATTACCGTTATTGTTTGCTACATGTAAGTGTGTCTAATATTTTAATTTGATGGCTCCTCAGTCTGTT